TGTTTGGTCACGCATTCTGGTTGGCTTTCTTTCTCTGGGTCAGGACACGGTTGTAAATCATGCACAGGCCATGAACTGTCAACAGGCACGTTCTCTGCACTTGTGTTTGGTGCCATGACCTTCCCTCATGACAGCCTAAATGAGACCCACGCAGGGGCGGGGGTGAGGGGAGCAGTGCCACTAAAGGGAAACATGGTCCTGCTGTATCTCTTACTTGCAGGGAAGCTGGGGACATGGAGCCCATAGTGTGATTCTCTTGTTCAAATTACACTCGGGGAAAACCAGAGCCACATGTTTGAGTGGCACCTTCTGAGCTCCTGTTTCCAAATTCAAGCTGAGCTGACACGTGGTTTACACGGTTTCAGCTCGGGAGCAGATTTCACTTAATCCACAGGGCATCTGAGTTACACGAGCACAAAATGAGAAACAGACGTGACTGCAGGTGCTTTTTGCCCTGCTGTTGGATAACGAACTCAAAGGTGTCTTTGATTTCAATGAGAAATTTGGCAGAGAGCTTGTCCATAAAGCGGTTTAATTGCAGTGGTTTTTGGTAAAAGGATTTCTCTCTCCTCCCACCTCGCTCTCACCACACACGTTCAAACACACATAAAACTCCCATTAGAAAGGGTAGAATGACGGGGTTAAAAATAAAATTTAAATTAGAGGCCAACCTCTGTAACCTGAAAATTTCCCATTCTCTCCATAAATGGCCATCAGTTTTTCTTGCTTTGGATAGGCTGATTTTAAATAGGTAATAATTACTCAATGGGCCAGAATGGTTCCAAGTCTATTGTGTAAATAATATGGCATTTAAATATATTAGTGAGTAAATATTTAACCAATAAGCCTAGGCAGCTTCAAAGTAGTTAGTCAACTCTAATGGAGGCATAATACATTCTTTAAAAAAAAAAGCCTAAATAAGGGTTTGTTCAACAGACCATAACCATTCATGGCTCAAGAAGGAGTATGCCGCTTTTGTGTGTGAAAATGTTTCTAGCAAGTCTTCATGTCTTAGACCAAAGCCTGTGTGTGACTGATGCAAAGCTATGCCCTGTTGTTGCTTCCTTGGCTGGGACCTTTGGAGGAATTCTTTGTATTCTAAAGGCTTAACTTTTAGAGGGTGCTCAGTAAACGTTAAGTAATGATAAGGATGAATAAGGCTCAATTTGGGGTCTGGGTGAACTGAATGCTATTCACAGTCAAGTGGCCTAATTTGACCATCTATGGGAAATCTGTTTCATTTTTTCAGTGTAGGCTTGTTGACCTTGGCCAAGACACACGTCTCTGGTCTTCAGCTGCCTCATCTGAAAAATGAGAGGATAGTCTAGATTACCTCCAAATCCCCTCTGGTTATAACTTAGGATATAATTCTGTGGGAAGTTTGGGTTTCACTGTGTACATTAAGAATTTTCCACAGAACAGTTTATCACCACTTAAATTTTTCCATAGCCTAAAGCTTTGACACCTGTGTGGAAAATATTGTAGGACATTTCTGACTTAGATACCCTGAACCAGTGCTGTCTGAGTTTGGTTGCACAGGCTGGGCACTGCACAATTCTAGGGGGCGCCATTCACATAGACTGTGAAGTGAATGGCCACCCCTCGCCCTAAGTTATGCAACGTTGCCACGCTGCCTTGAAAACACAATGTATTTTCCTTCCAGCTAGTGAACAGATTTATGTTGTTAGATTTTTTTTTAGACTCCTATGTTTGCTGGAATTCTGCCAACTTCTTCCTTCACACTACTTTTCCGAGAAGCCTCTTTCCCTGATTCTCTTCCAAAGCCTTGATTAGAATGAAACTAACATCTACTTGAAAAAGTAATCATTCTCAGATGGGTTCTGCTCTGAAAGTGAGAGAGAGAAGAAAAAAAAAAATCCAGAATTGGGATACTGCTCTAGACTGAGTGTTCGAGCCTCCTTCAAATCATATGTTGAAACCTAATCCCCACTGCAAGAGTGTTTTTGGGAGGTGATTAGGTCATAAGGGTAGAGCTCTCATGAATAGGATCAGTGTCCTTATAAAAGAGGCTCAAGATAGGTCCCTTGCCCCCTTCTGCCATGTGAAGACACAGCGAGGAGGCAGCTATCTACAAACCAGGAGGTGGGGTGGCACCAGACACCAAATCTCCAGTGCTTAGTCTTTGGACTTCTCCGTCTCCAGGATTGCGAGAAACAAATTTCTGTTGTTTCTGGTATTTTTGTGACAGCAGCCTGAACGACTAAGATAGGCACCAAGCTACTTTGTTACCCCTACCCTGACTTGGTGCATGAGGGTAGGTTGGCATGAAATGCAATAGTACGTATGTTTTTGGTGGCCTGGCAGATGGGTGGCCTCTATATTTTGTACGTTTTCGGTATAGAAAGGAATCAGCAATAGATTGCTGTTTCTTAAAACTCTGTCCAGTGGTTTGGCCCATGGGACTTTTCCAGCTTGCATCATGAAGAGAGTTCGATCTTGAACTAGGGCTAACCTCATCCCTTTGGTGGCCTGAGGAAGGGACACGTGGAATGGTAGCTAACGGTTTCTCTGTTCCCACACTCGAGAGAGACAAAGGCCACTCGGGCTTGCTCAAGCTAGTCCTCTCCCTCTTGAAGAGTGGAACTGGGCTCTTTAAAAAAACATTATTGTTTAAAAATAACAAGTAGGAACCGAAGTGCTCTTCAGCTAATGGGTAAAAACCAGCTCTTTCTTACTGGAGTCAAATTAATATTTAAAGCCCGGATTCTGGGTTGTGAGATGTTCTTGCAAACTTAGTGGAGTTTTCACCACCTGCTACTGAGGAGTTGTTGCTTTTGCCAAGTTCATTTCCCTTGAGAGGGCTTCCTGGTGCTAGGAGCCCTTTCAGCTCCAGGCATAAGTGGGAAGCAGAATTAACCTCCCCGGGCCTAGGCAGACTGTTTAATGACGAGATCACTTGACATGGAAAGTTAGACCTGTCTTAACACTGGTGATTGTGCCTTGAACTAAGAAATAATCAGCACCACGCCTCCCAGTTCCATCTCATCACAGTGATATTGAAGCAGAAACATACGGACGGAAGCGTCTTCTCCAACAGAATTCTGCCTAGTTGAGTGCTCCTAACGTATCTCTGTTGCCCTTGACGAACCTCTGAAGATTAGTAGTGAAATGGATAACCCAGCAGTGGTACCTTTTATTGAGAGCCTGCTTTGTGCTGGCCACTTTAGATACATCATCACTAATTCTTACCTAGACCTACAAGGTCATGGATATTATTATTCCTATTCTGCAGAAGATAGTCTCAGAGAGGGGAAGGTATTTACCCAAGGTTGTGCAGCTGTTGAGTGACAGGGACAAGATTCGGGTCCAAGAGTCAAGCCTGGCTCCTTCCTCTATACCGTTGTGATCCATTCTTCGTCCCAACTAGACACTCAAGTCTTCCTGTGATATCCTCTGTGTCCTCCTCCCTAAACAACCCAGTCCTTCTCCAGTCTCAGGCTGTCCTGTGAGTAGAACCGTTGCCATCTTTCAACTGTTCTGGGGATTCTTCCATCTTTCCACAAAGTTCCTTTCTCTGCCCGGCCCGAATGGAATTCCAGATTTGACTGATGGCTGCACTCTCCTCACACACCTCTCCCATGGAGACTCCTTCTTTCAACACCTTCCACCTCAACTCCCAGCCCCGAACTCACAGCAAGGAGACGAGCCCGCCATGCCCTGGTGCCTCTGCCTTCCTGACAGCACTCTGTCTCTTTAGCAAGTCCCTCTCCCTCTTTTTTCCTTTAAGCATAAATGTTCTTTGGTTTCCTGCTTGGCCCTTATGCCTCCTCTTTCAGCACTGTCATCTAGCGTGACCGGCTGTCCCCATTTGCCTGGAACTGAGGGGCTTCTGGGATATGGGACTCTAAGTGCTAAAACCAGGACAGTCCTGGGCCTAGTTGGTCACCTTGCTTGTCTCCCTCACTTATTAAAGCTTTTTAATAAGATTCCCATCTCCATATCTTGGCAACCCCAGCTCTGGGCTCTCTCCTAACCTCCACATTTGTATTTCCTTCTGTTTCATGGAAGTCTCCAACCTACATAGCTATCCTCACCTCAAATCCAACATGTACCAGGCTAAACTCAGCCTTTCATCCTTGAAACCAGCTTTCTTATGGATTTCCCTCTTCTTGTAAATGAGCTCATCTCTGTCTACCTTACTAACTTCAGGGTAAATTTCTGAAAGGTCCACTCATTTCAGTGTCCCCCCGGGACCTAGATTTGTGAGAGGTTTTGAGACTTTAAGATCTGACCTTGAATTCTGGTTTGGCAATTCCTGGTTTCATGATCATGGGAAAGTTTTTTAGTTCCCTGGCTAGAAGATTCCTCATTTATATACTGTATATAAAGTTGTGTATGCAACTTATCATAGGTTTTTTTTCCCCCCAAGGGTCAAATGTGAGAATGTGAGAAGGGCCTCAGTAAAGGATCCTGTATACAGTAGGCACTCAAATCTTGTGGAATTGATGTCACAGTTTAGTTCCTGACAGGGTCTTGACTGTCTACACCACCTTCCCTTGTGCTGCTTCTGCACTGTCAGATTCTCATGACTCTGTGCTTCGATATATTGCTGCTTGCTGCTAATTTTTCTTTGCATCTTCAATCTCTTTTATAATCTATCACACATATTTCTGAAAATTTAACTTTCCCAAAGCAAAGCTCTGACGATATCACTTTTCTGCTCTGCAACTTTCAATGACACCAAACTACTCATTGACTTAGGCAAACATTATGCAGTAATATTCCAACCGAAACGTCCAAACGTGTCTTTTCCGACTGCCCAAAAGACTCCTCGATAGATTGAAGTTTATCCTGGAGATAAGATAATCCCTACTCTGCTGTCTGTTCTCTGACAGGAGTTACCACTCCCTCAGGCCCTGTGGAGCAATGCTCAGGTCCCGGGCGGCTCAGAACAGGCAGGCCCCTGACCCAAGCCCTGCCGATTCCTGAGCTTCGTGACCTACAAAGTTGGACACAGCTCTAAAAGATGAACTAGTGGAGCGTCTGCCTGCGGGTGTGTGGAGAGATCAGTGTGGCGGCTGCTGCGCCCCCCAGGACTCGCCACCATGAGCAGCACCTTAGCTAAGATCGCGGAGATAGAAGCCGAGATGGCTCGGACGCAAAAGAACAAGGCCACAGCACACCACTTAGGGCTGCTTAAGGCTCGCCTTGCTAAACTTCGTCGAGAACTCATTACTCCAAAAGGTGGTGGTGGTGGGCCAGGAGAAGGTTTTGATGTGGCCAAGACAGGTGATGCTCGAATTGGGTTTGTTGGTTTTCCATCTGTGGGGAAGTCAACACTGCTCAGTAACCTGGCAGGAGTATATTCCGAGGTGGCAGCCTATGAATTCACTACTCTGACGACTGTGCCTGGTGTCATCAGATACAAAGGGGCCAAGATTCAGCTCCTAGATCTCCCAGGTATCATTGAAGGTGCCAAGGATGGGAAAGGTAGAGGCCGTCAAGTCATTGCAGTGGCCCGAACTTGTAACTTGATCCTGATTGTCCTGGATGTCCTTAAACCGTTGGGACATAAGAAGATAATTGAAAATGAACTGGAAGGCTTCGGCATTCGCTTGAACAGCAAACCCCCTAACATTGGCTTTAAGAAGAAGGATAAGGGAGGCATTAATCTCACAGCCACTTGCCCTCAGAGTGAGCTGGATGCAGAAACTGTGAAGAGCATTCTGGCTGAATACAAAATTCATAATGCTGATGTGACTCTGCGTAGTGATGCCACAGCTGATGACCTTATTGATGTGGTGGAAGGAAACAGAGTTTATATCCCCTGTATTTACGTGTTAAATAAGATTGACCAAATCTCCATTGAGGAATTGGATATCATATACAAGGTGCCTCACTGTGTCCCCATCTCTGCCCATCACCGTTGGAATTTTGATGACCTATTGGAAAAGATCTGGGACTATCTGAAATTAGTGAGAATTTACACCAAACCCAAAGGCCAGTTGCCAGATTACACATCCCCAGTGGTGCTGCCTTACTCCAGGACCACGGTGGAGGATTTCTGCATGAAGATCCACAAAAATCTTATCAAAGAATTTAAATAGGCTCATGCAAAGATAAAATAAAAATCTGGATGTTAAAAGTGCTTTGAAAGTCACAAATCAACCATGAGCAGTGGCTCATGTCCCAGCTACTTGGAAGGCTGAAGTGGAAGGATTGCCTGAGCCCAGGAGATCAAGGCTGCAGTAGCCGTGAGTGTACCAGTGCACTCCAGCCTGGGTGACAGAGTCAGACTCTGACTCAAAAAAAAAAAAAAGAAGTGACAAGACACATCAATGAATGCTGCTAGGTAACTACATTATTCTATAGAGAAAAGGCAGGTGAGGTGAGAGGGGCTCAGCAGACTAGTACTCAGCTCTGTGTTTAGGCAAGGAGTGCTATAGAGAGGATTCACTGTTGTAAGGGTACCTCCTGGCCTCAGTATCTACTGAAAGTATTAACACATAAAACCAGCTGAAGCAAGACAAATACCGAGGGGCACTGATATGGTAATTTTAAGAACACATCAAAACATAAATGCTTAATTATGAAGTATTTTATGGACAGGACCTAACTATAGTGGTTCAGTGATATATATTTTGGTGCTAAAACTCAAAATATAAGGTAGTGATTACTTTCAAAGGCTGGAAAATGGAGAAAAGGGTTATTACTGGCACATGAAGGGCTTCTGAGTAGTTAACAACAGAGTTTGCCTTATAAACTACACATTTATTTTATATCGTTTTCTGTGCCCATTTTATTTTGTAATAAAAAGTGCAATATTGAAAAAAAAAAAAAAAAAAAAAGATGAACTAGTTCAATTAGATTTTATCTTGGGAATATCAACTAAAGTACTAGGAAAGAATCATCCAGCTAACCGAAGGAACTGAAGCCAAAACATCGTGAGAAAGGCTTGTGGGGACATGGAAAACGAAAGCCATGTGTAAGAAGAAATAAAGGAGAAGCAGAAATCATAAACAAGGAGACCAAGCATGGCTAAGTACACTTTGGCTCTCAGCAAATACTTGCTGAGGGAATGGATCAGAAGAAGCAGATCCACAGAATCTGTGCTAGTGGTATTAATGGTGGACCAGAAGGAAGACCCCTTAGAGAGAAGAAGACCCTTCTAAGGCCTTTGTGAGTTGAAAGTTTCCCCCATCCCCCCCGCTTTGGTCTCTGTGGGGCTCATCCCTACTAGGGTGCCTGCTCTTGGATTTTAGACACTGGACCTTGTCACGCTCAGGAATTCCCTTTATTTGAATTAGCTTGAGCGGTGTTCTGCTTTGAGTAAACCAAAGAGCAAGACTGGGACGGCGCCGGGAGTGGAGCTAGAAGACATAGATTATCCTTCCAGCTCTGCTGCTTTTGCTCAGCCTCGGTCAGTCAACAAGTATGTATCGAGTGCTTGTTCTGGGTCTGGCGTTTTTCAGGAATGAGGAATGCAGCAGCAGATCTGCTTTCTAGGTGCTTACATCCTGTAGGAGGGATAGAAAATAAGCATGCAAACAAAGAAGGAAAACAATTCAGCCACAGATAGGGATGATGGAGAAGGTGGGAATGGGAAATAGTGAGTCGGGGGTTGCTTGACACTCAAGTAGAGAGAAGGTCAGAGCCATGCACAGATCTGCGGAGAGAGCATTCTGAGCAAAGGAGGTGCCGTGCAGAGACAGAATAGGGAGCGAGGATGGTCTGTTCCAGGAAGAAGATGGCCAGCGTGGCTGGGTTGGGGTGAAAGAGAGGAGTGGGGGGAATGAGGTGGAAGGTTTGGTGGGGTCAGACTCCGAAGGGTCTCGAAGGCAAGGTAAGGAGTTTGGGTTGCATCTCAGCAGTAGAGCGTCTTAAGCGGGGGTGTGAGAGGATGTGCTGATGCCCGATTGCTGCCGGAAAAGGAACCAGCCGGAGGAAGGCGACCAGTTCACAGCTATTGAAGTCAAACAGGCAGCAGCTGACGATGGTATGAATTAGGGTTGTGGTGGCGGAGATGAAGGGCGGGGTTGAATTTGGGATTTTTTTGGCCAGTGGAGGTCGTTTTAGACTAACCTGGGACGGAAGCTGATGTAGATGTGGGGCCTATGAGAAACGGAGAATGGAAGGGTCATGGTGAGCACTGGCACCTGAGCAGCTGTGGAAGAGTAGGGCGGGATATTGGGATCAAAGAGGGGAGAGGAAGCCAGGAGTTCCGAGGAGAGGTCTGGGATGAGACTTGGTCGTGGGTTGATGGCGCTGAAACTCGGGACTAGGTGAGCTTCCTGGAGAGAGAAAGTAGGAGACAAAAAAAGGAGGTTCCAGGACGTTCTGACTGACCTTGGGTGGGTGACTTCCTTTTTCTGAATTTCACTTTTCTCTTAACATGAGGGATGTGAATTAGATCTCCAAGCTGCCCGCGCTCCTTAACGGTCTTAGATTCGGTATTTGAAACCAGGGCAAATACATAAATCATCCGAAATGGAACTTCAAACGGAATATTGTCCAAGTCCAACACCGTCAACAATGGTATTCCCAACAAAATAGCAGCCTGCGGGAAGGCTGGGCATATTCCAGGACTCTCACTCGGTTGTGAGAAGCTGATTATTGTGATGTTCTTTGTTCAGGAAGTGGCACTTCAAGAAAGGCATGACTTCACTTAGGAAAAGCAACGGATTTTGTGCTGAACTAGAAGAGCAAGGAGAAAACGACGCGGAGAGGCCGGATGTAAAGTGGAGACCCTTCTCACCACCTGCGACTTGAGGCCCCGATTGCCTGAGTCTGAAAATTATTTGTGCTTCATAAAAAGAATCTGCCTAGTGGTAAGCAGCTTGAACCCGACTGTACAGTCATTTTTTGATCCGGTTCCTCAGCCTGTGTTAAGCCAATGCGGAGGAGTTAGCAGCAGGTGAATTCTGGCTCGGGAGTCTGCCTTGAGGAGAAGACTGCCACGAGGATGCCACCTCCTCGCCTCTCTGAAGGTGAGCTCGAGCCCTAACTCTGTTCTCAGTCAGGGTCCCGGGAAAGTAACGTAGATGGCGGGACGCATAACTTGTGAGCTGGGGAGTGCAGCTTGGAGGGGCAATTAGGCTAGGCGTGGTGGCTCACGTCTGTGGTTCCGGTACTTTGGGAGGCTGAAGCAGGAGGATTGCTTGAGGCCAGGAGTTTGAGACCAGCCTAGGCAGCACAATGAGACCATGCATCTACAAAAAATAAATTTAAAAAAAGGAAAGAGAGGGAGGAGCAGTGAATCTCGGGGTTTGTGTGAAAATGAATGACACCAGGCCCTGACACTCTGCTATTAGTCAAGGAGCACAAAGCACTTCATACACGTGGGGTCATTCATCCATGTCTCTGCACTTTCCCTGTGAGGCTGTTTGGTGCTTCCGTGACTGGGAAGCATGCCGAGGCACAGAGAGGTAAGCTTCCTCCAAACGCCCTACAAAGCGTTAGTTGCCAGTTACAGGACATGAACATCGCAATGCTAGTGTCGCCATCCGCTTTGCTCAATATTTCCCTGTTTAATGAAAATAGCCCCAGTTACCTAGGAGACTCGGTCTAACTTTGCAGATAGGCTAAAAGCATTGATGAGCTGCAGAAATGTTCAGTTGTCAGCCTAATTTTCTACCCTAGCTGAGACTCACTGGCATCATGACATAGCTGAGTGACGGTCACATGGCTTGACGTCCCGGAGTTGGAATAAAGAGGAGATGAAAACCGTAAGGATTTTTTTTCCAGAACCAACATGCCCTTCATTTTAACGTGGTGTAGCCCAGTGATCTTCTTACCCCAAAATGGGGGACCCATTCTGGATGAGTTAAGTCGGACTCTCTAGGGACGGGACTTGGGCACCCATGGTTTTTAAAGATCCTAAGGTGGTTTTACTTGGCTGCCAGGGCTGGAAGTCACAGGTGGAGAAGAAAGGTGTTCTCGTAAACAGAAGAAAGTAATACTTACCACCTGAGGCTGCTGGGACGAGCAAGAGAAATGAAGTAAAAGGAAGCACCTTGCAGTGGGCACTTTACAACTCCAGCTGTTGTGGAAACATTTTCCACTTTTGTGTGACCCGGAGAGTTTTCTACAAAGCAACGACAGAAATGCATTCCTATAGCTCATTGTCAATTAAAAGACTACAAAAAAGTGGCCTATTACTCAAGGAGCCCTTGGGTTTCATAGAAATTAGTCATTAAAGCAAAACAGTGGTTGACATTGCCAGGAAGCCTCGGGACTCAGCCTTCGTAAAGGGCAGATTCTTTTGTTTCTATTTCGTTCTTAGCTGTGCATTTCCCCCAAGCAGAAGCCAGGATGAGAGAGACCAGGGTGGAAGAGAGCCAGTTAGGTCCTCAGGTGCCAGGAAGGGCTCCTTGGGGAGGGCGGTCTAGGGTGGGCCAAGGGAACTTGATGGCCCCTTCTCAGAAGGTGGACCTGAGAAGCAGCAGAGCTCTGGCCACCAGTGAGTGTTATTCGACACCAGTTTGATTTTTGCCTTTGCCGAGTTTCATTCCTCTGCTCCTCAGGGTACCCGGGTGCTGGCTCCTCTCTCTTCCTGGCCAGAGGAGACCTGCAGCCTTCCAATACCCAGGGGGCCTGGCAATCTCTACTTGACAACAGGCCATCCTGGCTAGGAAATAAGGCAGAGTCAGTGAGATGGCAATGCCACAAAACCAACTGCCTTCTATGCAAAGGCTTATGGCCCCTTAGGCTCTGCCCAGAGGCAGAACAGCTCATCCCTCGGAAATATTTGTGTCCCGCACTCCAACAGGCCGAGCATGGGGCTCCAGACCCTCCTCAGCCATGTTGAGAAGAGTGATCAGTGATGCCGTGGAGCCTGCTGGGACAGGCTCCCGTGCAGCCACACTTGGCAGGTTGGGGGCCAGGGAGGACACTGTGCCTTCCTCCTTTCTCCTCCAACGGAGGGCAGCACGCAGAGAAAGGAGAAGGCTGACTTGGGTTTTCTTAGGGTTGCCATGTTCCACAGGTGATCCAATTGGCCTCTCTCCTGGCCCCGCTGGAGGACCCATAGCCCTCCCTAGCTGTATATAATCTCAGGCAGGGTGAGCCACAGTGCAGGAACTATGGAACCATCGTGCTCTGACTCAGA